AAAAAAAAAAAAAAAAAAAAAAAAAAAAAAAAAAAAAAAAAAAGTGGCCTTCAAAAAGGAATAAAATTAGCTTCTTGCTATTGAATTAATCTAACTGACCTTAAAGCCTGAGAAATGAAGTCCCAGCTGATGATGATTTATCAGTGCAGCCTGGGGACTAAATTTAGTTTCATTCTTGTGGAATAAACCCTTGTTTTGGGTAATTCTCTGGAAGGGCTCAAGGAGCCTCTTTCTACAGCTGCTGCTAACTGTTCAGCATATTTTACATTTAAAGATGAGTAATCGGACAGACGAGATTTGACTGAGTCTGTTACTTCTCTAAAACCATCAAGAACATCACCTGTGACTCCTTTCCACCACCCCACGAAGGGTGGATTTATGATTAAGAAAGAGACAGTCTGAGGAGTCGGGGCTCTGGCTTTTCTTCCTCTGACAGGCGTGCCTGGGTGAGTTCAGTCAAGAATCTTACTCTCTGTGTGCCTCCGTTGCCTTGTCAGTAATGCAGCAAGAACAATTGCCAACTTTACTGCACTCTTGTGAGGCTGACTCTCAAGAATATCTGCAGAGCTTCTGAGATCACCTGATGGAAGGCAGTATAGAAGTGCTAAGTGCTGTTTTTATTATGATGAAGGTAGGACAGCTGCTGTGGTTTTGGGAGGAAAGCTGCTAGTTCAGGTTCCATTTATCTCTGTGTGTTTCTGTTAATTGTTGGATCTCTAAGGGTCCTCAGATCTTTATCATCAGGAACCCAGCTATGGCAACAGAGAGGGATCCCTAGCTGTGCTGGCATTGGCTGCTGCCCCCAGCTATCCTCTGTGAAATTGCACCAGGAGTTAATGCTATCTCAGGACTTTCCACCCTACTTATGTACTCGCCTGAGGGCAAGAATGGGCAGGCATGCATATAATGTGGCTCTCTCCCCACACCCCTATCCCCACACACTTGCAGGGGGAAAGTGACTGTGTGTGTGGAGGGAAGCGTCCCACATAACCCCTTGCCTTACCTTTGCCATGGAAAATTGTTCTCCACTGTACTGCTTCCATTAAGTAGAGGGAACACCTGGGCCATTCTTTTGTATAGTGGTTGGCTACAACATATGTATTAGGGAATTGTTGGAAAATGTGATTGCTTGCTTTGTTCTTGAATCCCACCTTTTGCATAATAGTAACTGAGTCCACACTTTTTTGTAAGGGATGTATAATACATCTCTGAATACTTGCCCATAAAATACACTGATAAATGGCTCCAAGCTGCTTTAAAACCTGAACATGTCTTACAGATGAGGAAAAAGATCTGAGGAAGATCTCTGTGAAGCTCAAAAGCCTCTCTCTTCTACCAACAGAAGTTGGTCCAGTAAAAGATATTACCTCACCCCCCTTGTCTCTCTCAGATGAGGAAAAAGACATTTTTTTAAAAACTGTATATTGTGAATACTAGTGTAAATGGTTAATTATAAGGTGATTATACTTCTGCTGGTATTATTAAATCTTAATATCGCTCTCATTTCAGTGGATGTAAGTCGATTTTAGTGGAAGAAATTACTATAAAAAAGTGAAAATAGCAAATTAGCAGGGAACGGGTTGCTGTAACTGTGAGAGAGTTGAGGATAGAGGGGAATTAGAGAAGCAGGAAGATGCAAAATACTGAGACAGAAAATATGAGCCATAAACATTCTGAACAATTGGCTCAAAGAGCAAGACACTAAAATAGACTGCAACACATTGCAAGGCTGAATTCGAAGAGCTTTGCTAGTATGCCTGCATTGCTTCAGCAGATGAAAACACAAGTCCTGACAATACAGCTGGTGTGTGTGGGTGACTTGATGCATGTAACCCTTTGCCACATGTTTCGACTCTGTATATTTAACAGAGAAAGTAAAACTTTCAGTGCCAGCTACCAAAAACAATAATAATATTAATGTCTGTCATGTAGCCAGAGGGTTATATTTCAATAATGCTAAATTCGGCTCTTCATAACCACTGTCACAGCACCTTAAGCAATGAGATTGCAGTATGCAAATGAACTAAAGTCCTCAGCATGGTTATTAGCTGACTTATCTCTGATGTCACAATCCCCACTCCAACAAAGGCCTCTTCATAGCTATCCTGAAAGCAGACTGTTGGTTGGAAAATAGCTAGTTTTCCATGTCTCTCTCTAACGAAGATACCTTAACAAAAACATGGAGGAGCACAGAGAGACATTTTGTAAATCACTTTAATATAAACATGTTTTCCTTTTAAAAAATTTCTGATATTACTCAACCATATTAAACTTGAGGGACAGAGAGAGTGCCGAGAGGAATTAGCGTTTCACTGGATTGCCAATAGTTGCTGAGGACAGAGACTGAATTTTGCTGCTGAGAACATCTTGACAAGATGGTGAATTATTATGACATTCTAGGTATTCAAAGAAATGCCTCTGCAGATGACATTAAAAAGGCATACCGAAAACTGGCATTGAAGGTGCACCCTGATAAAAACCCAGAGAACAGAGAGGCAGCAGAGAGGAAATTCATACAAGTCTCTAAGGCATATGAGGTTTTATCTGATGCCAAAAAACGGGATGTCTATGACATGTCTAGTGAAGGAGGTATAAGTGGAAAAGACAGAAGAGGTAAAGATGAAGGTGGAGGGAAAGGTAGAGAGAAAGGCAGGGGTGGGAGTCACTTTGATACTGAATTCCCATTCAGTAGCCCCCACACAGATGTGTTGAGAGGAATGGACTCCTTTACAGTGAAACTCTGGGATGATCTACTTGATGGGATTTCTGGCATTCGGCGAGGACTCCATGGAAGAAGAAGCAGAGGTGGTGAAGGATACTCTGTCTCTATTGCTGGAGTGTCTCCTATTTCAGGGACTGGATTTACTTCATTTGGTTCCCAGCAAGTTGGGGGCTGCTCTTCATCCTCCATCACGTCACTGAACAACAGAGGGAAAGGCAACTTCAAATCAGTCATAACGACCAGCAAAATAGTTAATGGCATCAAAATCACTACCAAGAGAATTGTGATGAATGGAGAAGAAAGAGTAGACACCACTATTGACCATTAAAATTCTCAACAATTGGTAAGAGGCAGCTACTATACTTGGATAATGCGATATTGAAAACACACATTTCTCAGAAATATTAAATTATGATGAGCTTCATTTGAGGGATTAACCAGAGTAATGAGACTGTGGGGGAAGTTTTAACCAAAATCTACTTTTCATTTGCTGCAGCCTAATTGAAAATATTTATAAACAGTTCTTCCAAAGTTATTGTGTGTGGGTGCCATAGACTTATCAGTTAATTCTTGGGCTATCATTAATGCATATATTTTGTCTATAAAATTGTTGTGAATTCTCTGTGGACTTTGCATTTATTAATAGTTATCCAAAGTGAAGAATGATCAGAGTTCAGGCCAATCAATACTTACACTAGCATGAATCTTATGTTTTTCCTTTTGTTTGAATTGTGAACCCAATGGCTAATATGCTCTGAAGTTAACATTCTCAGGACAAACTTTGTTCATTTCAATTAGTAAGGAAAAATGTGTAGTACTGGAAGATGTAAATACAAAATAACATTGCATTTCTGGTGGGTCGTTTTCTGTATAGGCAAATAGCAATGAGTATAGGGAGTGAACTGGGTCTAAGTTATTTGCTAACAAGTTCTAAATCACTAAATGCTGTTGTTTTTGTGGAAAAAAAGAACATAAAACAGTGTAGGCAAACTGTGTAAAGCTATAAACTTCTCTGGGACTTGCTGACCTCAGAAAGCACTCCAGCTACACCATGTGATGCCAGAAAGGTATTGCTCTTGACACTTCTTTGATGCATGTATAGAGCCTTGTAGGTGTAGCTTGCGTTCTGTGGATTGTGCCACACAGTATCATTGCAGTCAGGGCTTAATTTGTAATGAAAGAGGTGCCAGGGCTCCAGCAATTTATTTACATTCATAACTGATGCAGCAAGCCCAGAGGTGCTGGCGCTCAGCCCTGGCAAGCCTTGGCACAAATTAAGCACTACCTGCAGTATTGTGAGGGGAAGGATGGTCTTGTGATGAAAGCACAGCACTGGGACTCGAGGGGTGTGGATTCTGTTCCTGGCTCTGTGACCTTAGAGAAGTCACTTAGAGGCAAATTTTTAAAAGTGGCCTCAGATTTTGGGGTGGGATTTTCAAAAGCGCCACAGTGACATACACTCTAAATAGACAGGGCAGACAAAGCAAGGGAGAAAGGAAATATTATTACCTTCTTTTAAAAGGCAGGGAACTGCCGCACAGAGAGATCAAGTGACTTGCCAAAGGTCATACAAAACAGTCTATGGTAGAGCTGAGACTTGAACTCAGATCTTCTGCACCACAGGTCACTGCATTAGCCACAAGACCACCCTTCCTGCTGTACCTAATAATTAAAACATTTACCAGCATCTGTGAATTCGAAACAAAATACTGGGAAAAATTTCAAATGCGGATGCTTCTAGCTAGACACCTGAATAAATAGCGTGATTTCTAGAGGTGCTGAAGTCAATAGATGCTGCAGGGGGTGAGCACTTTTGGCCCATCAGCAGATGTCATCATTTGTTTACAGATGTTTCCAGTTTATGAAAAAATAGAGCATAGTATTTCTGTTTTTCATGAATGATCCTCTTTAGTATACTCTTGTCTGTTGAGAATAGTTTTGTAATCTTTTAGATGTGTACGTTACCCTTAATTACTCGTTAATTCTTTTTCTAGGAAATTGACGGCAAATCATTGCTACTGATGACAAGAAATGATGTATTGACTGGACTTGCGTTAAAACTGGGGCCAGCTCTGAAAATCTATGAATATCACGTAAAGCCTCTACAGACACAACATCTAAAGAACAATTCTTTATAGCAAATGGTCTAATTGGGGTCCTGTTGTGCCTCCAATAACAATAAATAAGCAATTTGGTTTCATGTGATGGAACTTTGTAAAGAGAGAATATATGTCTTAAGAATTTAAACCAAATGGAAATGATATATATCCTATTGGATAGATTTGGCAATATACTGTACTATGACTGAACTGAGGGATGGTGTGGATTTTCACATGGTACATAATGATTTTCTCTTCCAGCTCCCTAAACAGAATACATTGAGATGATTAAGTCAGATTCTGAACAAAAAGTGAAGAAAGGGAGTTCTTCATTTCTAAGCCAAACAAGAGGTTAATTTTCAAGATTTACTTAAAGTACTCTTAAAAGTTTACATATATTTGGGGAGAGGAAGCAAAAGTAGATTCTGATTTATGTCAAATATCTACTGAAGTTACTGCTCCTTGTAACTTGTGCGACTGGATTGGGATTTGCCAACTCACCCCTTTTTGCAAAGGGTCCTATTTTTGACCTTATTAAGGTTTATTTGTGGTATATTGCAATGTTTAAAGCTGTACATACAATTAACATAGCACCTTCTATAGCAGAAGGCCTTCCTAAGAGGTGAAGCTTGGTTGTGTATTTTTGGTGGTGTTCATATTTTCAGCTTGTTTTCACCCAGTTTTATTCGCAGTTCTAAGTAAGGTATACTTGTTTTTAAACAGCGTGTGTTGCTTTATAAAACAAAAATAAAGTTCATTTTAATATTTTAATTTATAAAAATTTCTTACAAATTTTGCAGAACATTGTATAAAGAGTAGATTTCTGCAGTTTTTAAAAAAAATATTATTGTATTTCATGGTGTTTCAATGAATAATTTTGATGTTTTACTTGATTTATGGTTTAAATATTTGTTTCCAAAAATGTGAAAGAAGTTGTCTTGTTACCGTAGATCTCTGTTAAAAGAGAGTCTCGTTCAATCTGTTTGTACTAGTTCCCAGTTTAATTGGCTACTGGCTACCGCAATAAAGCATTGCTTAGGTTTTGATTCCATTTACTTCAAAGCTATCTATTCTCTCTATATTTTCTTAGTTGTGGTATCGGAGGGATCCCATTTCTTTTTCTCCATCCAGCCAATAGTGGGGGTCAGGAGACTTCTTACTGTTCAGTGTTGTCGTATTTATTTAATGTTTCTGCTTTCTTATCAGTCCATCCATACTTTTGATCAGATGTGCAGCTGGCATAGCTCCATTGACATCTAAGTAATCAGACACAGAGATATTTTTTCTTACCCTCTGAGGATAGAATACTTACATAGGTAACTATTTCCTTCTGTTTTGATGTTCCCAGTGAGGATTTATGAAAAGTGGAGCTCAATACACAAGGGACGCTTAGGATCTTTTGCCTTTCCTAACTGGGATTGTCTTTAAGAGGAAGGGAAAACTATAGAAGTAGTGAACTGAGATTAAGGGGGGAAGATGATGCATATGTACCACAGTTTTTTTTAAAATCACTTGTCTATGTATTAACGGATCTGATTCTCTTCCCTCTCACTGACATGATTATTTATTGATTAACAGTGTAGTGAGGTCAATTTCAAAGTTCCCACAAAGGTCCTTTATTCCACTTAACTTCTCTTAAACCCAGTTTATGCAGTGCAGATACTTCATGCTGGCCCTCCGCAGAAGGGTGAATTTCACCCTGAGCGCCCATGACCATTCTAGACACCTTCCAAAACCATAAGACAGCTACCATCCCTGCTACAAAGAGTTCTCTGAGCATCTCATAAAGTCTAGGACACTCCCTAAACACACAATGTGAGATACAGCACAGACGAGGTGAAGTAGAGGAGGTAGAGCAAGGAGAAGACACTAATGGTAGTGTGGTGGGAAACAAGTAGGAGGAGAGTGATGTGGTGGGAGGAGATTGTGAGGAAGACGTTGCATGGCTGGGAAGAAGGTGAGAGGGAGTGGAGGAGGAAGGAGGTACCTGTAAGCCAAGTTGGAGGAAGGCTGAGGCACAGGAGAGAAGAAATGGAATTCAGTGGAAGACAGCAGGAAACAGATGCTTATAATCCAGCAACGATGGTGCCCCTAGACCACCTAGACCACTGGTAAGGCTGGGAAGGGGTGTGGAATGGTTACCGCTTTGACTCCAGGGGAGTTACTCCTCATTTACACCAATAAAAATGAAAGGGGAATCAGGCCCTGCATATGTAGTTATATCTGGGCTGTTGGCTAAACTCATATGATGATGTGCATAACTGCGTGGCTTGCAACCCGACTGTATTACATTTATATTTGGATCTTGAGACTCTGAGAATGTGTTGTATGAACCAAGCTTCTAAACTAACAGATCACTTTCTATCCCTCATCCTGTATTCACTGCAGAGATTGGGGTATGGGAGCAGGGAAGTACTTACTCCTGTTTGTGCATCACAATGTATATTCTGATTATTATTATTATGATTTGTATTCTGGTAGCACACAGAGACCCCAATCAGGATCAGGGTTTCATTTTGGAAGGCTTGGTACAAACAGATAAGAAAACATAGCCCCTGCCCTGAGGAGTTTATAGGCACAAATGAATCAGTTTGGTAAAAACTGTAGGGAGGAAGGAAGGAGGGAAAGGATGACACATTAAGTTGTTAGGATAACAAGATATCTTAATTAGTTCTGTGGAGATAGCCTTGCATGGTGTAAAATTACACTGTCTTCAGTAGTATACACTGGGGGCCCAATCCTGCCATGGACTATGCACCCAAACTCAATAAGATATTTGAGTATATGTCTGATGGTCGGAATATAGGAACTGGCATGCTGGATCAGAACAGCAGTCCATCTAGTTCCGTGGTTTTCAACCTGTGGTCCGCGGACCCCTGGGGGACCATAGACTATGTCTAAGATTTTCCAAAGGGGTCCACACCTCCATTTGAAAATTTTTTAAGGGTCCATAAATGAAAAAAGGTTGAAAGCCACTGACCTAGTCCAATATCCTGTGTCTGACCGCAGCCATTGTCTGATGCTTTGGAAGAAAGGATAAAAACTCCCATAATGGACAATTGTGCACTAACATTTCCATGAGTTCATGTGAGGCTGGGCCCTAAGTCTTTTTGATTTGTGTTTTGTGATATTACTTTTTGGATCATTTACTAATTTACAAAATGTGCTTAAGATGCTGTAAACTAGATTTGTCTGTTGAGAATCATTAATAGAATAGGTTTCAGAGTAGCAGCCGTGTTAGTCTGTATCCGCAAAAAGAACAGGAGTACTTGTGGCACCTTAGAGACTAACTAATAACTAATAAATTTGTTAGTCTCTAAGGTGCCACAAGTACTCCTGTTCTTTTTATTAATAGAATAGCAAATGTAATACTGTATCCTAAATGGATTAATTAATCACTGATTATAATTACTGTACGTGTGCTGAATCGATTGGATACTCCACTCACCGCTATCAGGATTGGTTTGATGAGAACAACAAGGAAATCCTAGCATTTATTCATCAGAAGAGAAGCACATTTTGCACTTAGCAAAATGAACCCTCTAACAAGCAAAAACGAGAGACTTATTGGCTTAAAGCTTTAGTTCAAGAATCAGTGCTGGCAAGCAAAGGCCATGGAGATCCAGAGCTTTGCTGATCAACATGACATGAGAAGCTTTTTTCAAGCAAGGAAATCCATCTACGGGCCAAGCTCAAGCAGCACAACCCCTCTGCAATCTTAGGACAGCTCCACCCTTCTTAAGGACAGTGTAGTCCTCTAGGAGCATTGGAAGGAGCACTTCGAGACTCTACTGAACTGTGAATATGAAGTCTTAGCTGCCACCATCAACACCCAGTAATAGAACCTCTTGCCGACGCCCCATCTTCTGAGGAAGTTTGGCGCGTCATCACTCAGACTAGAAACAACAAGATGCCAGGCCCAGATGGCATCCCCGTGGAGGTCTTCAAAGCTGGTGGAATAGCACTTGTGCAAAAACTTCATCAACTTCTTGTTAGAATTTGGGTTAATGAGGAAATTCTACCCGACCTAAAGAATGCCAATATTGTGACCATTTTTAAGAAAGGGGACAAATCAATGTGTGGGAATTACCAAGACATTGCCCTCCTCTCCATTGGCAGGAAGATCCTTGCTCACAGAGCAAGAGAACAACACCAGCCATTGTTTATGGCATTTACTGACCTAACTAAGGCCTTTGATTCCATTAGTCATGAAGAGTTATGGAAGGTGCTGTCTAGGTTTAGTTGTCCATTGAAGTTCATTTGCATTCTAAAGCTATTTCATGATGGGATGACTGCCACTGTCCTCTGTAATGGGTAGGAGATGGACCCATTCACCATCCGTACTGGTGTCAAGCAGGGCTGTTTTATTGCCCCAACCCTTTTTTCCATCTATCTTGCCGTGATCTTGATTCTTATTCATGACTGCAGCCAGCTCTTCAACCGGCAGCGTCTTCATTCTAAAATTAAGGTAACCAAGACTGTTACTACCAACCTTCAGTATGCTGATGACTGTGCTATCCTCGCACACACTGAGGATAACTTGCAATCCACCCTAGATCTTTTCTTAGGCACCTATCATAGCCTGAGACTTTCCCTCAACATTGGGAAGAGTAGGGTGTTCCACCAGACTGCCCCAGCACAAGTTGTCCCCCTTCTCCCACAAATCATCATTGTTGATAAACTCCTGGAAAACATTGAGCATTTCCTTTGCCTTTATAGCCACCTCTCCCAGACAGCCAATCTTGATGTGGAAATCAAACATAGGCTCCATTGTGCCACCGCATCCTTCAGAAAGTTGCTTCGTTGTGCCTTTATTGAGAGAGATCTGCTGATGGAAACTAAGATCTTGGTCTATAATGCAGTAGATATCCCTACTCTTCTTTATGGGTGCAAGACATGGGTGACATATCAAAGCCTTCTTCAGCATCTGGAGCAGTACCACCAGCACCGCCTTAGCAAGATTCTCCATATCAAATGGGAAGATCATTGCACCAATGTCAGCGCTCTCTCTGCAGCTAACATCACCAGTGTTGAGGCAAAGATTATGAAATATCAACTTTGCTGGACTGGCCATTGTGTACGGATGGTTGATATTCGTCTTCCGAAGCAAGTCTTCTTTTCTCAACTTAGTCATGGTAAGAGGACCCGCGGGGACAGAGAAGATGCTACAAGGACACCCTGAAAGTATATCTTAAGAAGGGAAGCATTGACCCCACAAATTGGGAAGAGCTGGCTGACCATAAACTAGAGTGGCATTGCATCATACATCAAGCCTCAGCCCATTTTGAAGAGAATCGCCTTTCTCAAGGGGCTGAGAAATGGCAGAGGAGGAAGGAAAGTGTACAGCATTCCAGCCAGAAGTTGTGCTCTCTCCAAGCAACCATCT